GTGTTGGCATTGGTGGTTGTGGCTGTTCAGTTAGTAAAGGTAGCTTTTGGGGATCAGGAAAATGAAAAAGTGGTGGAGAGTAGGGACATTTATATGTCAGATTGTGTGTCTGATCTATTTTCTCAGCCTTTTTTTTTGTTATTCAATTGTTGAGTGGATAGAGTGCTAGATGTGGAATTAGGAAGAGCAGAAATCAGATCCTACCTCAGACACTTCTTGTCTGTGTGACCATAGGCAAGTCATATAACCTCTCTCAGCCTCATTTTCCTCATTTTAAAATGGGGTTGATAGCACCGGCTTCATAGAGTTGTTTTACAATGAAATATCATTTGTAAAGTGCTTTGCAGACCTTAAAGTGTTCTATAAACGCTGGTTAATAATAATAATAATAATAATGATAATAATATACACAATTGGTATAATTCTCACACCTTCAAAGTGCTAGCTACTTTTTAAAGATGTTGCAATGGACTAAGAATGACAGAATTGGAATTTCCAGTAATATCCTTCCTTTGGTCATTGTTTCTATATAGTAGTGTGACAGCTGAATCCAAAAGAAGCTCATGCACACCTAAGATGCATTTGAGTCCACAGGAAACCATTTATTGGTTTAAATATTCCGAGTTGGCAGTCAGCCAACAATTATCTGTTGACCACCTATTATAATCTCAGTTCTGTGGTAAGTACTGTGGAAGCTACGGATGGAATTGAAGACATCATGGTCGTCCTTTGTCCTTGAGAAACTTGTAATCTTGACTGTCTCTTTAGGCCAATATTTTTTCTTCTCTTTTCTTATTAGTTCCCAACTAGGCCTAGAATAGTGCTGTGCACCTAGTAGGTGCTTCATATTAGATGTGTGTTGAGTGAATAAATGAAACAGGTCACAGGAATAGTGTATGTTTTATTTTTTGAAGCTATCAGGAATAAAAGGGATTATTTTTATAGACTTTGGAGCTAGAAGGCACATTAGAGAATATTTAGTTTAACTCCTTTCTTTCATAGATGAGAAACCGAGGCCAGGAAGCCAAGAGAGAAGTAATTTTCCCAAGGCTACATAGTAGCCAAGCTGGGATTAAAATATAAGGCCTCCAGTTTTAAACCCATTGCTCTTTCCATCACGTCATGATTTTTTCCAGTATGATTTATGTCCAGCTACTCATTTGAATATAGTTCATTTGTGTGAATGAGAAAATGCTAAAAAATGTCTATATTAATTAATAGCATATTTCTTGTTTTTTCCTTTGAAACATATGAAAAAGTTTTATTCAAGTTGATCAGCTCTAGGCTAATGTTTTCAAAATTGTAGGTCTCTCTGCTGATTGAAAAAATGGGTGCATTGTTATTCCCTTTGTGAGATTTTCATGTGGAAATGGGGGGACTAGGTTTAATGTCAACACTTAGAGATTTAATATGACTCTATTACTGGGAAAACATATGTTTAGCCAAACCCTGACTCACCACAATGTCTTCATTGTTCCATCCTTCCCTACCCTGCTTAGCCTTTTCATAGGGAAAAGTTGAGTTTCTTAGCAAAGGTTGGGGCTGAACAGGACCCATGTTCTGCTTTCGGTCTCCATTTTATGATCCCAAGATGCTAAACATCTGGAGGCTGCCTAGGTCAGAAGTTCACCCAGTATAGCCCTAGCTCTCCATGAATAGAGTGGGAGGAAGGGGGAAAAAGTGTAAAGTTGCCTTCATTCCATGACTTGAACCCAGATCTTTATGACACCAAAGATGATCTATTTCCCAAACTACACACACACACACATAGATACACATGTGCACACACACACATGTACACACACCCCCAGCACAGTAGAATAGAAAGTACTGGAATCAGAGTTAGAAGTCTTGGTTTGGAGATCTATTTCAACCACTAGCTCTGTGACTTCCTTCTATAAAGCTTTGCCTGGGGCTTTTGCTTCACTTCCCTGGGAAATAAATCATGTCATCTCTTTGTACTTCAGTTTTCTCATCTGTAAACCAGGAGTATTAAAACTTGCATGGCCGACCTCACAAAGCTATGAGAAAAAATACTTTGTAAACCTTGAAGTATAATATAAAAGTGAGCTATTATTATAAAATGAAAGTGGAAGAATATGATATAGGTGCTTCCTACCCAGATACAGGTTGAACAAAATGAACTCTGAGGTCCTTCCCAACTCTGAGATTCTATGATTCTGTGAATTCAGTTTAATCTTTACTTTTTTCTCCTCTTTCTTTCTCTCTCTCTCTCTCTCTCTCTCTCTTTTTAACACTGAGTTTTCATATCTTGCCCAGGCTGGAAGTTTGGTAGCTACTCATGAACTGATCCCAGTCCTGATCAGAATGGAGCTTTAACCTGATCTGTTTTACCAACTTGAGAGGGTTGGCTTCTCCTTAAGCAGTCTGGTGGACCTGTGTTCCCCTGGGGACTCACTATATTGGTACCAGACTCAATGTGGACATCATCTTTAGCTCTACTGTAGTGCAGAAGTCTCAAACTCAAACAATCCACCAGCCTCAGCCTCCCCTAGTAGTAGGAATCACAGGTGTGTATCTCACTACACCAGACTTTATTTTATTTTAAGAGGCAGTGTCTTGTGTTGAATACAGGTATTAGGTCAATCTAAACGCCAGGAAGACCAGCATTTGCCATGCTTCTGACACATATTGGCTGTGTGACTCTGGGCAAGACACAATGTCCCAGTGCCCTAAGCAAGCTTCTAAGACTGTGTAAGTTGTAGAGAAGATGCCAACCTGCACTGGTAAAGGAAGTTCCCTCATCTGGGCCTTTCCTGTAGCAATGAAATCATAGGTTTAATCCCTGTCCCCTATCTCTTAACACCTTGAGAACATTTGGAGAATTTCATGAAACTCCTTGAGATAATCTGAGATAATCTGGAGTGTCACAAAGTCAGGGATAGGAATCCCTGGTAAAGAAATGCCAAAATATTTTTGGAAGAGCCATTTATGACTGCACAGCCCTCCAAATTATTAGCAATTTGTCATGAAATCAAGTCACAGCCTTTCAAAGCTAACTTCAATTAAGCAGCATATGATTTAAATATTTCTCCACCAAATAATTTGGCAGTCTTTTCTCTTGTATAAATCTTTTGTGGCTTGGGCATAGACTATAATAGCTAGAAACTGCCATTAACTGTCTTACTGCATTTCATAACACCAGCATCTATGTACCAACATGTATCATCAGCTGGATCAGTAAGTAGGTCAGGGTTTTGGGTGACAAACCTTTTCTTAAGACCAATTTCCTCGTTGAGCAATGCGCTATCACCCACCAGTCAATAACCTCAAAAATAAAGATAAAGCAAGATCTGATGAATTCTAGTGTGAGATAGGTTGGCCTGGAGGCCAAATTCTTTTTTTTTTCTTAATGACTGAAATTGGGTTTGTTTAATCCCCTTTAGCTTGAATGATAGCCCACAAAGCGTAAACCCCTTAGAGGGGAAAAAAAGTCACCCATATGGCAAAAACCACAGATGTCTGCCAGCTTCTGGAATTAGTAAGGAATTTTGCCTGTATAGCTTGGCCATTTCACAGGCGTTTCGGGGGCATGTAACCTTTCTGGGATTAGCAGGCCTGTCAATTGAAATGTCCTTGTGACACGTTTTGGGCTGCCCCTCACTCCCTCCCTCTGAACTAACTCAGGAATATTAACCTCTGGACAGCCAGCTCCAGTTACTGGTAATTACTCCTCCTATTTCCAGGGGGAGAGGAGGGAAACGCCCCAGGCAAAACTTACAGAAGGAAGCAATAGAAGTCTGCAGAGAAAATTGACTTGAGATGTTGGGGATGGAGGTGGGAAAGGAAGGAAGACTTAGTAGAATCACATCTAGGTTTTCTCATAGTTGTCTTAACTCTGGCCTGAAATAATTAGAAATGTAAACAGAGAAGTTTCCTGGTGCAGATGGTGTGAGAATGTTGAGACCTTTTGCATGCTGAAGCACTTACCTCCTCCCTAGTCCCAGGCACAGGAAGCCAAGCCATTAGGCCAAGAATATTGAAGATAAGTATATTGAATGCCGAAGCCCACACCCAGTAGTGTTCAGTCAGAATTGCTCAGAGTAGAGATTATCCCAGTTCTGGGTCAGCTTTGCAAAAGAGGCCCCTTGCGTCCAATTTCCTCCCTAATATATTCTAAGCGCATCCTATGGGGAGATGCTTTCCCTTTTCATGGAACTCCAATTTTTGAATGACTGCAATTGGGTTTGTTTGATCCCTTTTAGCTTGAATGATAGCCCACAAAGGGTAAACCCCTTAGAGGGGAAAAGAGTCTCCCATATGGGGGATACAAGGACAAAAATGATAGACCTTAGCCTCAAGGAATTTATATTCTGATGGATGTGGAAGACTCATAGATAGTTCAAACTAACAGGATTTGTTCTCTGAAACCGGGACTCAGTCAAAACGCTGCACCCAAGGACCTTGAAGGCCACATGGGGTCCCAAGGCCTCAGGTTCTTCACCCCTGACCCAAGGTCACACAGGTTTTTAGTTACAGAGCTAAGATTCAAAACCAACTCCCCTGATTCTTCAATGTACTGCTTTGGAAAGAGTACTGGATTTGGAGGCAGGAGATATGGGTTTGAGACCACCTTCTACTTGCTGTTTGGCCTCAGGTATGCTGTTTTACTTTTTTGAGCCTTTGTTTCCCTACCTGAAAAAACAAAACCCCAAGAATTGGGGATAATAATCTTTATACCATCTTCTTCACAAGGCTCAAATGAGACAATGGATATAGAGCTCTTTGTTATCAGAAAATGCTATCTTGTGATGTGATGGTAGAGACGGATCAGCTCATCCCTGGCACTTCTTTGTTATTGGGTAAATCCTGGCAGCAGTTCCCTTGTGGTAGTTGTCAACCCCCACTTAAATATACACCAGGCAACATCTCTTGTCTTTTCTTTCTTTTTTCCTTGGTGTAGCACTCATGTATGTTGAGTCATTAATACACACAGTGAAATGATACACACGTTCTATTTGTCTCCCAATCCTTTACAGACGGACTGTACCATATGGGCTCTCCAATTACAGAGGCAGCTTCCGGGACAAGAGATCTGCAGATCCTACCCTCAGGACTTCGCCACCATTTGAAGGGCCTCGGAACCGATGTTCTTGCACAGAACAAGATGATGGTGACTGCATTCATTTTTGCACCAGAACTGAGGACAACAGAAGGTAAATGGCCCTCTAGGAAATTTTAATCATTCAACGAAAAGTGATTCTTTGGTAGCAGCCTACTTCAGTAAGACACTAAATGACTGTAATATATAATAATAATAGTTAACATTTATATAGCACCTGCTATGTGCCAAGCACTTTACACATCTCATTTGAGCCTCACAAGTAGCCTGGGAGGTAGATGCTATTTCTATCTGCCTTTTACAGATGAGGAAACTAAGGCAAACAGAGGTTAAGTGACTTGCCCAGGGTCACACAACTAGTAAGTACCTGAGGCTAGATTTTAACTTGGGTCTTCCTGACTCCAGGCCTCGCACTCTATCCATTGTACTACCTAGCTGCTTGTTATAGAACATAAACAAAAGTGGTTACTGTGGTCCTCTAATGGGTCTGTGATTTCATCAATGTGGATGCTTCCTCTGCCAGTCCAGATGGCAACCAACTGGGCCTTCCTGTGCAATTTTGTCCGTATTTTCTCATAAATTCACACATAATTCAGCATCATAAAAGGATAGGATTTTATTAATGGAAATGACATTAAAGAAGATTTATTGCCATCTGCTTTGCTGCTGCATCCTATGCACCATGGGGTCTTTCCATTGGACTTACAACTGAAACCATCTATATTTGTCTTCATCTATTAAAATATTAGTGTCTTGGGAACAGGGATTGTCTTTCTTCTTTATTCATATTTCTGGTAAGGTGCTTAATAATTGCTTTTTCATTCATTCATTCATCCATCCTTCATAGAGAATCAACTCATCTTGTTCATGGCCTTCCTCTGGTTCTTTTAGTATTTCCGGCTTAGGTTATCCATTGTGCATTGGTTATGTGCCATTCCATTCCATGACTGGCCCACTTCTTTTACCAGTCACATATCAATAATGCCTTTGGTATGCCCTGGGCTTTTCCACCCTTAGAGTTACTAACATACCATGGAAATTTAGTGGGCCAGGTATCTGGCTGAAGGCTGAGAAGACTACCAAGTATTCCCCAGGTTCCATTGGTCTTGTTCTTGATCTTGAATGTACTTCTAAAAAAAAAAGTCCAAGGGACAACTGGCGTTGGTTGTGTTCCAACAAAAAGACTACTTTGAAAGAGCAATTATAAGAACTTTCTTGATACCTAAAAAATAAAATTAAGTAGAACATGAATTGTCAACTGAGAAATAGTTACTTAGAATAGTTTCTGTAAGCAAACCTGAAGGTGGGAACATAGAGTATCAGAATTGGAAGGTGCCCCAGAGACAATCTAGTCGAACCCTTTTGTTTTACTGAGAGTAATAGCTAATCTTTATAAAGAGCTTTAAGGTATATAATGAGGTCCAGACAGGTTGATTCTTGCTCAAGATCTCACAGCTAGTTAGTAACAGAGCAGAGATACATCAGTCACTCAACCAGAATTTATTAAGCACTTACTATATCCCAGACACTGAGCTAAGCACTGGATTAGAATTCAGGTCCTGTGACTTCAAAACCACAGTCTTTTCTTCTATTGATTAATAATGAATGAAAACTACTTGTGGAAACCAGTTTCAAATTTTGTACGACTATGAAAATTCAATGTTGACTATATATCTTCCCCTCCTCTCCCAGATGACCTAATAGTTAGCATACAGAAACATGATATTGTATAGAAGTATAATATTAGAATCCTTCTTGACTAAGTATTTAAATAGTAGAAAGGGATCTGAGTATGTTTGCATTCTAGAATGCACCAATGTCGACTTCATGCATGAGAGTAAAGATGAGTCAGTCATTATTGCATTCCTAAAAATCTTAAGCATTTTCTAGAAGACAAATTTAGAGTGCTACAATTTGGGTTGATTATTGAAACCAACCTTCTCTTTATAGTAATTCAAGGACAGTAGAAAAACATCAAGACAGAGATGTGGAACAGCCTCCAGAAAAGTGGCCCTGACAGCACAAATGCATGAACAGAGGTGAGTTGTATGACTAGGCATATCATTTATTACATAGCTACTAGGAACATTTGAATGGAAGTCTTGAACATCTCTCTAGTCAATGGATATAGTCTGATCCCAGACAGAGTTACAAACCTAAGAAAGATTAGAGGGGACTTTTTTTTGCCAGTTGGATTCTTGGAATCAGTATAAATAATTTTGATTTTCTTTGTTACAAGACCATATATTTATAAGTGAAAGTTTCCTTAGAGATTATGGCTTCATTTGATATTGGAAGGCTCAAGGAAATAAAGTGAATGGCTGAAGGTCACATAAGTAGCAGAGCCAGAATTTGAATCTCTTCCCTTTGACTCTCAGTCTAGTCTTCTTCCCGTTATATCACATTGCCTCAAAAACAAGACAGAGTGTCAGAAGACCAACTCATTTGGGAATCATTAGTTTCAAAGTTCATTTTTTGTAGTCTTTCATAACTTGGTCACCACCTGTTCATTCCTTTCATATTCATTCATTCATTGTATGAAACTTCAGATGAGTCAAACGAGTCAATTAAATGAAATAAAGGGATTAATTGATTAGTTAAATGTAAATGTAGAAGTTGGAAAGCTGGGGCTGACTTAATGGAGAAAGTTGGAATCCCAAAGTATATTTGCTACAAAGTATTTGTTTCTCTTCTCCCTGCCCAGCTTTGAAAATTGTATCTCTTATGGGTTGTCTACTGGAGATTTTGAGCCTTTGGTAGAATTTGTGAGTTGCCTTATCACAAAATAAATACCTACATATCATGGAAAGTAGGATTTCCTGCCAGTAAAATATGTGAATTTATGACAAAAAATAATATGAAAAATCTCTGTCTTTTTTTTTATGTTGTACCCTTGGAAGCTATCTGCATTATCTAACCTGGCTCCCAGGTCTACCAGGATGTGGCTCTAGTCAATTAATGAATAAGCACTTAGTAAACACTCACTATGTGCTAGGCCCTGGGATAAGCTGGGAATATAAAGATAAAATAGCCCTTGCCCTTCAGGAGGTTACTTTCTAACGGGGGAGACAACATTTAAATACATATTACTGAATACATGCAAAATGAATACAGATTTTGGGAGAGAGGGTATTAGTTGGAGGGAAGATCAAAAGGGAACTAGTGGTTCTACAAAGTAGAAGTGAAGAGGGAGTACATTCCAGGAATGGAGGAATGTAGGCATGAAGTCTGTGCCAAGGCATGGAGACAAGAGATGAAGCATCCAGCTTTTTGGTATATCCTCCCTTCATTCTGGCCAAATCAGGATGCTAACTGTTCCCCTGTCTCATTTTGTCCTGTCCAGACCCCTTTATTTTGCACACATGATCCTCCATAGCTGTGATGGTGTCCTCCCTGCCCATTTCTACTTGTTAAAATCCTTCCCTTTCCTCTAGACATTACTCATGTGCTACCTCATTTATGAAGCCTTCCTTGATCCCCTTAGCTATGTGATCCCCACCTTCTTGAATCTTTCAAACCGCTCTGGATCTCTCTTATGTAAGAATAATTTTATAACTTATATCCTACCATTTGTTCTTAACCCCCTGATTTGACTGTAAGTTCTTAAGGGCAGGCACTGTGTCCTGTTTAGTCTATGTATTCATTGCACAAATAATGGTGCTTTGAAAATTATTATTGTTCAGTCATTTCAGTGCTGTCCTACTCTTTGTGACCTCATTTGGGGTTTTATTGGCAAAGATAATAGAGTGGTTTACCATTTCCTTCTCCAGCTCATTTTACAGTTGAGGGAACTGAAGCAAACAGGGGTAAGTGACTAGCCCAGTGTCACATAGATAGTTAAGTATGTGAGTACAGATTTGAACTCAGGGAGATGAGTCTTCCTGACTCTGGGGCTGGTACTCTATCTACTGAGCCACTTAGCCGTCCCTTTGCTGGTACCCAAATGTTTGTTGAATTGTCTAAAATTTAGTTAACTGTTCCTGTAGATATGCATGTGCATGTGCATGTGATTTTATTTCTATGATGATTCCTTCCATAGAAAACATTGCAATTCAACTATACCTTCACATTCTATACTGTTCTGGTTCATACAGTTACCACCCTAGTTTGAACACTCATCATAATTTCTCCCATGGCTTACTGCAATAGTCTTTAGTTGGTGTTCCTGCTTCAAGTCTCTCTCAACTCCAATTCATCTTCCACTTAGCACTCCCCTACTCAATAAATTTCCATGGCTCCCTATTACTTCCAGGATCAAATATAAAATCCTTTCTTTGGGATTTAAAGCTCTTCACAACCTTGTTCCTTTTTACATCACCTCCCCCCCCAATTCATTCTGTGATCCTGCTATAGTGGCCCATTCTTCACACTTGATACTCCATCTCCTATCTCTCTGCCTTTGCATTGGCTATCCCCAATGCCAGGAATGTTTTCCATCCTCGCCTCTGCATCTTAGTTTCCCTGGCTCATTTCAACACTTAGCTCAAATCCAGCCTTCTACAGGAAGCTTGTTCTGGTCTTCTTAGCTACCTTTTCCCCTGAGATTACTATCTACTTTTACATATCTTATATGTACTAGTTATTTACATGTTGTCTCTCCAATTAGAATGTTGAGTTCCTTGAGGGCAGGGCCTTTTTTTCCTTAAAAAACCTTTTCTCTTGTATACTCAGCCCCTTGCAGTCCTGGCACTTGATAAGCACTTAGCAAATGCCTATTGACTAATTGAATTCATGTATTCACATAAATTCTCTTTAGAGGATCTACCTGACATACAATCTTTAAATAAGCATGGACACCAATGTAGCCTTCAAGATCTTTTATCATTTAGCTCTTACTCTTACTATGTGATTAGCCATATATTACCTTGATTGTTTTTTGGGGGGAGGGCACTTCTTTTACGTAAGTCCTCTTTGGTGATATGCTGTAGATTATTTATACTCAACATATCTTTCTATTGACTTTTGTATCTCTTGCAATTTTGATATCTCTGTGATCATTATGATCCATTATATGTAGCCATATAGCATTGCCAGGAGAATTTTGGCATAAAAGATAGGCTTTTAATCAAGGATCCACTTAAGATAATTGAAAGCACTATGGCATTTTCTAAGCATGATCCAGCCCATTCTTGTTTTCCTATAACAATTTTGGGCCCAGCTTGTCACCCATCAGAAGATGCCTGTCCCAGACATTTATCCTAGTGGACTAACTTGATAGTCTGCCCATCCAGCTGCATGTAACCATCTGGAAAATATGCATTCTTTATCCACTTGATTTTGCTTAGGTGGATACCTTTTGAGTGAGTGTGAATCTCATAGAGGAGGTAATATGTATCAGTTGGGACTGGATTGGAAAAGGCGGAAGATCAAACACATACACATATGGTCAGTCCCTCAGTCAATAAACACTTATTAAGCACCTACTATGTGCCAGGCACTGTGCCAAGCCTTGGGAATATAAAGGAAGGTAAAATACTGTCTTGCTCTCAAAGAGCTCACAGTCTATAGAGGGAGACAACCTGCCAACAACTCTGTCCAAATAAGATATATGCAGTACAAATAGGAAATGATTAAAAGAGGGAATGTAGAGTTGTTAATAGGGATCAGGAAAAGTTTCCTGTAACATAACTTGTGCATCACATATACTAAATAATTGTTTATTAAATTGAATCTTTCAATTAAAAAATAATGTATTCTTTTTTTTTTCTTGTGTCTCCAAGATTAGTTGAAGGCAGGAAAAAAAAACCAAGAAGACTGTATCTGCAATGAGAGAAACAAATGAATGCTTCAGGCAGACACCAGATCTCACCATGTGGTATCCCTGCATTTGTGCTATTCCAAAAAAGAGAAAGCTGCTGAAGTATTTTGCATTCTGTGACACCTTGTTCTCCAATTGCTCTGACCACTGGGACACATAGGATTCAAATTTCCATTCTTCTCTGCCAAAGGAATGAGTTTTACTCAGAAAACTAGCCAGTTTCCTCATCAAAATGACATGCCCCAATCCAAAGAGTAGCAAAATAAAACTAGTCAAGTTTCTTTAATGGATAAAATACTCCCAGATGTGCTCTGGGGGTCATGGCATCCAACAACTCTGGTTTCATGCAGGAAGTTGCTTTTGGAGAAATATGGCAAGTCAGAAAAATACTTACTTGCATTTATACACAGATTCACATCCTAAACAAGTAGATAGCAAACTATTTACAAATGTAAACAAATGCCCTTACTATAATAAATGCCAAATATCTATGCAGAAAAATCACAGCTGATAACTTGTATCTGAAAATATAGCAGGCTAGCATTCCATGAAATTAGCCACTTAGTAAGTTATCCACATTAGACACAAATCAGATCTACCTTGGTGGTTATGGTTCTGAAGCTCATAGTACTTAATGTAAAGAAATCTGGAAACAGTGTTACTCATCAAAAGAGTGTATCTCAAAGTTGAAATTGCATTTTGGGGGACATTAAGATAAGTAAATTAATACATGCAATCTTTCAACTATGCTAAGCTCCACATGTAGCTCATTCATATTTAACTGGCCTTTCCATTTTCATCTTTCCCAATACAAAGGTGGCCCATTGGAGGATTAATTTAAATTTCCAGCATGAGTTGTTCTTAAGAAATCTGACTATGGGGGGGAAAGGGGTATTGACCCACAGTGTTCAAGTTCAATATTTTTTTAAAGGATCTTCTGGGGATGATTTCAAAATAAACTTCCCCACCCTACCCTACCCCTTCTTTGTAAATTATGTAAATTCATATTTAACTATATAATTGAAAAGAAAAGCAACTTGGAATTGTAACTTGTGGCTTTGTCTGTTCTGTTCCCTCTGGATCTTGCTGTAAGCTTCTTTCTCTCCAAGCATCTTAAAATGTAACTTTTACTCTATGAGAAGATGTGTTGTGGAGGAGATTGAATCCCTACTACATAGTACTGACTTTGGAGTTGGTGCTGAAGTAGTTAGAGTGGAGACAGCTAATGTATTGAGCAAAGGAGGGTAGGTCTTGGCTAAAATGTTATATTCCATATGAATATTATGTAAGTTATTGTAGTTGTAAAAGTAAATATCTTTATTACAAGTAAATGGTAAGTTTCTGATTTCATAGCAGATTTTGTACATTTTAGAAAAGCAGATTATTTATTGTGAAAACTATTTACTTCAACTATTTCTTTGGGTGGATTTTTTTAAAGTAAAGTCACTGTATATATATTTTTAAAACAGAATGTGTTTTGAATAAAAAAAACCCAGTAGACCACAAATTATTTTAAAAATGCATATGTGCCATTTGGCTATGTGCTGTCTTTGGAAGAAATCCTTAGTACTATCAACACTTGGAACGTGGGCATAATCAAATGCACAATAAATTCTCCATACATCACCTTGCTATTTTGATCATTATAAGTTAACATGTAATCATTCATATATTTCACTGCAGAGAGGAAGTGGCAAGGCAACATTTCTGATCAAGACCCAATTGCAGACCAAGATGTGGAATTGTTTGGATAGTGGAGAAGAAGTCAAGGGTTGTGACCATCACAGGAAAGGAGTTAAAACAGCTAAGGCATTCATGAGTTAAGTTTGAGAAGGGATTCTGCAGGGAGGACCTTTTCCTTGTGATGTTGTATATCGTTCTTCACAACCAGGCAAAACATCTTTCTCTAGAATTATAGTCAACTAGATCATAGCATTTAGAGCTAAAAGAAGCCATAGGGATCATGTCCAGACCTATAGTATGTCTTAAGAACCATATCAGGAGGTGCAGCCTCTTCTAACTGCTGTAATACTGGTTATCCCTTCTACATCTCAGGGGTTAGGAGCACAAAGCCCCCATGACCTAGAAAATCCACATAAAATTTTTTAGCCCTCCATACCAGAGAAGAAGTCTGATTTTTTTTTTTGCGAGGCAATTGGGGTTAAGTGACTTTCTCAGGGTCACACAGTTAGTAAGTGCCAAGTGTCTGATCTGAGACTAGATTTGAACTCAGGTCTTCCTGACTCCAGGGCCAGTGTTGCCCCAATTTTTCTTTTTTTAAATGGGGTGTTTTTACAGTATCTTACTCTACAATTTGGGTTAAGTATTTGGTCATGAACTCTGTGTCATCTGCTAGTCTTTGCATGTTGTCTGAAGCTTCCACAAAATTTCTCCCCAAATTCCCACTTAATTTCCTATGCTGACCTGCAATATATTGGCAATGGGGAAAGGCACAATGTAGAAGGGATAACTGTATTTACTTTTTGAATGAGCTCTCCTTCTACATACATTGACATTCTCCCTATACTGCTTCATTTTCAAATGTGGAGTGTGGAGCTCTATCGTAGCTCTCTGGAATTAGTAAACTTTAGGTGGCACTTTTCTTTCCCATCAATTATAATATTTGTTATTTCTTTTTTTTGTGTGAGGCAATTGGGATTAAGTGACTTGCCTAGAGTCACACAACCAGTGAGTGTTATGTGTCTGGGGCTGGATTTTAATGTTTATATTTTTTTAAAACTACTTGCTTGCTGTGTGACCTTAGGCAAGTCACTATCTTTTTGAGTTTCAGTTCCCTTATCTGAGAAATTGAGAGGTTGCACTACATCACCTTCAAGGTACCATCTTGCTCCAACATTCTATGTTCTAAGTTCCCTCCTGACTTTGCCATTTTATGTAGCTAATGACATTCTATGTTTTAAAGGTCTTTCTAGCTCTAGTGTTCAGTGTTCCAAGGTTCATTTTGACTCTACCATTCTCTGACTTTGTGTGAAGTATCTATGTGTATCAGGAAGGAATTTAGTCTCTTTAATTTCCTCCCCTCCAACTTATTTATGCCAAGTAGAGAATCAAGTCATCAGATGAGAAAATGAAAATCTAACATTCTAAGGTGGTTTGATTATTATTTAAGATAATAAAAAACTATCCCTTGTTCTAATAAAAATTTTACAAAATTGATAAATTAGGGTACTGATTCATTTTAGAAAATGTGAAAGGCTTGAATTTTGGGAATCTAGTAAGGATAGTCCAATGAGAACATGCAAGGCCCATAATCCAGAGGCTGGTGGATCAAAATCACCCAAGACAAACTATATTTTAAAAGCTTTAAAGGAGGCTGTATGGTGTAGTGGATGGAAAGTAGGCTTTTGAGAGAGAGGATCTGGATTTGAATCTCAGCTCTACTACTGACTTGAGCATTGCACTCTGGCAAGAATGAGACTGTTTGACTAGAAAACTGCTAAGGTTCCTTTCATATCTTAATCTCTGGTCTTGTGAATGTTCAGGTTGAACTAATTCCTATATTAAATGATGACACAGCATGGAAAAGCCCAATTATGACTTCTCTGTTTTAGACATTATTAGATATCCAAATGTTAAAAAGAGAGCTTAAAACCCAGGTACTGTGAATGTGAAATTAAAAATGGAGAAGGAAATATACAGATAAGAGTTTGGGCACAAACCTTCTTCTGGGTTCTGTTCTCACCATAGTGTTCTAGAGGACTTCCTTTCTGTAAAAGTTAGGATTAGGGATAAAAGGAGAAGGACAATTAACACCTTTTGTGCCTGAATATTGGGGCCAGATGCAATCAAGAAATTTTTTTTAAGAATAAAAACAGATAAGTTAACAAATATGTTTTAAAATCATGTTACTATGTACCAGGTACTGTACTAAGCACTGGGGAGGCAAATATGAGCAAAAAGACAGTGATTGCCCTCAAGGTGCTTACATTATACTCGGGGAAGACAATATATAAATGAGAGATGAAGGGGTGGAGTTGGTGAAAGAAGGTACCTAGAGAAGGAACATGGCGGCAAAGTCTGGAGAACAAAGGATAGCTGATCTGGGCTCTTCTTCAAACTGGAGGTCCTGGGGAAAACAAGTATTGGGAAAAGGGCATCATAGGAACAATAATAATAATTCATAATTCTATAATGTTTCAAGGTAAAACATATATGTAGGATTAAAACAATTGGAGTTTTAAGCAAACGAGGGGTAAAAGCAGTGTCTCTTATATTGAAGATTTAAAAAAAAATCTATACTCCTTAGGTAAGCCTTTAAAGGCAGAGGCTTCCACATATATACCATAAAAATTAAATATAGAATACATAACACTAATTTGTAGCATTATTGATTCCTACTGAACTTTCAATTTAACAGACATTTATTAAGTACCTACCATGTACTGGACTGGAGAAGGAAATAACAAGCCACTCTAATATCTTTTCCAAGAAAACCTCTTGAACAGTATGGTCTATGAGGTCACAAAGAGTGAAACAGTGCTGATAGACTAACAACCACAACCATGTGCTTGGCTCTGTATTATACCCTTTAGGAGCTTATATTCTATGGGGTGTGGGAGTAGGATATGAAATATACTTAGATAAGTAAATATAAAGCATATATATATATGTATAAAGTAATCCAAAATGGTATTGAAGTAAATATTTTTGAGGCTTCAGAGCTTCCCAGAATTTTTTTCAATTAGTCACAGAATTTGGAGGAAAAAGCAAATAATTCTATCTAGAAGGTTGTTTTATAAACTATGAATCTAGGGAAGAGTGATATTAAGCAAGCTTTTTGATGAAAGCTTTCTAATTTGTCTGACAATCAACTAATTAACTAATAATCAAGCATATGTCAAACCTAGTGTTTAACCTAAGGAAGATAAAGGAAAAAGTATTAGAAAAATTCCCTGCCCTATGTGGAACTTATTGTCTAAGTAGGGATATAACTTATACTATATATTAAAATACTTTGCTGATTTTATTAATGTGGATACTCTTTTCACTTATCACAACCCCATTGCATGGTAGCACATCGTCTTCACGAGTTGCTGTAGTCAAAACATTCATCACTTGGCCAACATTCTGGTGATGACCCTGCCTGAATTTAGCTGAGGTGATCTTCAAATAATAGCTACCATACATCACCAGTCCTGAACTCAAAAAATTTCCAAGTTTTAATTTTACCACCACTTTGTACATGGCATCTGATCTCTCACTTTCCTGCCTTTGCACAAGATGACTCCTTTGCCTAGAATGTGCTCTTTCCTCATCTTTGCCTCCTGAAAGAAGGGAACCCCTAGCCCCCTCGAAGGTTCAGCCATCTCCTTCAAAAAGCCTTTCCTGATTTTCCAAGCTTGAGTCTATTCCAAATCTTCATTCTATTACTCTGTCTGCTGAGGGAAATGTACAGCCTGTCTGGGCCTCACCTTGTCCCCCAGCATTGGGAGGTTTACCATCTAATAATTTTTCTCAGCCTTATTACTTGCCATCCTGGGTCAAGCAAATACTATGTAAATACAACCTATGTTGTTATTAAATATTGTCATTATCATCTTTATTACTCAATAAAGTAAAATTGCTTGTTTTGTTGCCTCAGCATGAAATCCATTTGCTATTTAAGGTTAATATATTAATAATAAATTGAGTATCAAATTGACCATATATTGCCCATAACTCTAAGAGACTGCATGGTATAGTGCAAGTGCTGGAAACAGAACCACTTTTAACCAAATGACCATGAGGAGGTCACTTATCCTTTGAACCAGAGGCAACTTTCTAATAGTTGTCCAACATGCATTTATTAAGCACTTACTATGAGCCAGGTATTGTGTTAAACACTGAGAATATAAATACAAACCTAAAGAAAAACAATCCCTGTACTAAAGGAGCTTACATTCTAACGGGGGAACACAATACATGAAAGGAAGATGAAAGAGTGAGGAGAGGAATGAAGGTGGCCTGTGCATAGAAGTCCAGTAGTGAAATTCAGGAATCATAGCCTGGACAAGAAAGAAGAAATAGCTGGTCTGGGATGGTCTAGAAGGATGCTCTGGAAGGAGTTATCCAATCAGAGGGAGAGACTGCAGGGATAAGGGGTACTTTCAATGTATGAGTTCCAGGGCTGTAATGAGCTTCAAGATCAAGAGGTTTGGGGTTATATATAATAGGGAAGTCCAGAATTCAGCTTGGAAAGGAATGAGCCATAATTAATTAATACCGTGAGTAATAAAGCCAGCTTGTAATTTGAACATTGATGGAGGGAATTTCTCCCACATTGAAATCACAGATAACAGGTAACTATTGATGAATGGTTTGCTACATCTCTTTCCCTAGAGTTTTGAGGTATTAGTGTTTTCTCTTTAATTTGGATGTAAGAGAATGGGTATCACATACACTTTGTAAGTTATGAATGTTAGCCTCATTTAAAAGTAATTGAAAAGTTGTCAAATTGATATGAATTAGCAAATTAAATGGGTATATAATTAAAGAAGTCCTACCTCCAACTAACTTGAGCTGTTCAGATATTGTCAATTTTGCAGGTAAATTCTCACAACTTTTATGGAAAGCAAAGGCATAATTAGGTTTTTGAGAGGCGATGGGGACAGGAAAATTTGGCCAGA